TGTCTAACAATCGCATGTATGGCATGTATATGTTTAGTAAAGTCTTTTGCCTCATTGCTAGGACGGGCATCCAGTGGTAAGGGAACCAAATATAGGGGTCCTTGTTTGTATGCCCATAACACATAGGTTATCAATAGGTCTCCTTGTTCTTATTGATAACTTTAGTTGAATTTGCAGCAAGAAATCAAACCTATTGATTTGATGGACTAATTCATAGGCTTCCTTGGTGGTATGCTCACACAACACTAAAGGAGATCTCCCAAGCTCTTGTTGATAACTTTAATTTGTCCATTGGTTTGTATATGAAAATGTGTGCAATACTCGAGTTGAATATACAACATCTTCCACAAGGTATGCCAAAAGTAACTCACAAATTTTGTATCATGATATGAAACAATGGATAGAGGTGACCCACGTAAGTGAACTACTTCTTTGAATAATAGTTTGCCCACATGAGAAGCATCAAAGGTTTTTGCACATGATATGTGAAGATTTTTTAAAAAAATAAGCTACTAATTTTTATTTATTATTTTTTGTGTTTACATTTAGAATATATATATAGAGTAGTTATCATTATTGTAGTTGGACTCTAATTATAAAATATAATTATACTATCAGAACTCTAACTAATATAGTATTCTACTTAATATAAAATGCTTATCAACACTTTCTTTCAAGTTGGCGCAAAGATATTATACATGCCCAATTTGCAAATCAGTTCTGAAGATATTTGTTGCATAGTTTTTTAATAAAAATGTTAGCCACCTGGTCGTCAAAAGATAAATGATATAAGCATAAAGAGCCACTAACTACTTTCTCTTTTATGAAGTGTCGATCAATCTTAATGTGTTTTGTTCTGTCATATTAACTGGATTATGAGCAATGTTAATGACTTCTTTATTGTCACCAAACAGGGATAATTTCTCATTTTTAAACAGTTTTAACTCCTTTATTAGCTTTTACAACAATAGTAATTCACATACTCTTTGGACAATTGCTCTACATTCTGTTTTAGCACTAGAGCAGACAACCACACTTTGTTTCTTACTTTTCCATGTGATTAAGTTGCCTCCTACAAGTGTGCTGTAACCTGTAGTTGATTTTCTATCATCTAGGGACCTACCTCAATCGGCATCTGTAAATGTTTCTATGTTAAGATGACTATGCTTAGAAAAGAGCAGGACTTTTTCCTGATACAGATTTTAAGTATCGTAATATGCGGAAGACATGTAAATGAGTCTCACGAGAATCATGCATGTACTGGCTCACAAGACTAACTGCATATGTTATATCAGGTCTGCTATGTGAGAGATAAATGAGTCGTCTAACTAATCTCTAGTATTTTCCCAAGTCAATTGATGTATTACTACCTGCTTGCATTTTGTGGTGGCTCTCAATAGGTGATTCTACCGATTTGCAACCTATCATACCAGTCTCTTCTAGTAAGTGTATGATATACTTCTTTTAAGAAATGAAGATTTTTTTATTGGATCTGTCAACTTCAATTCCCAAGAAATATTGCAATTTTTTCAAATCCTTTATTTCAAACTCTTGAACAAGAAGTTCCTTCAACCGGATCATCTCCTTTGTGTCATCTGTAGTCACCCCAATATCATCCTCATAAATAATGAGCAGTGTGACCTTACTCTTGCAACGTTTGACAAACAGGGTATGACCAGCATTGTTTTATTGATATTTAAAAGAGATTATAGCTCTTCTAAACTGTTCAAATCATGCTCTTGGAGACTGCTTCAATCTGTATAAAGCTTTTTTAATTGACAAACTTTTCCTTGGGTTCTTTCATCTTCAAATCCAGGTGAAATTTCATG